CCCCCCCCCCCCCCCCCCCCCCCGCGCTCACCTCCCCATCGCGCCGTAGCCCTTTATGTTCCGTGCGCGCCCCCTGGTGGTCAGTGCACGCCATAGTGACCGGTTGTTTGGTTGTCCTGCCCTTTGGTCTATTTGCATATTAAGGTTTTATATATATAGATAGATTTTTCTCAAAGTTTAGTTAGAGTATAATGGTTCTTGTGTGGTAGTTCACTTAATGATTTGTAGGAACCTTGCTTCCACTCCCAAAGTTACATGGAAAAATGTGCATAGGTATGCATATGTGCATTGTTTTGGGGAGAGGTTCCCAGTTATGCTAATAGGAATCTGTGACTATAAAAAGATGAGAATGGATGTGATCCAATGTCATGTTTCTTGATAGGATCTAGGCTTCCTGATCTAGACTTTCACTGTGGTAATCTTTTTCTCTTCTTAATCCTGTTAAGATGCTTATAACCCAAACAAAGGAAGGCCTTATATTAAGAAGCAGAGATTGTGCTCTGGCCAGTGTGGCTCAGTTAGGTGAGCATTGACCTCTGCACCGAAGGTTTGCTGGATATATATATATACACACACACACACACACATATACACACACACATATATATATATATATATATATATATATGGCAAAGGATTTGGGGAAAAAAATCTCCCATCATCTCACTTAAAGAATGGAATTCTAATAGTTGATGGGGTAGGTTTATAGACTGGTAGATAGGTTTAGTTAGATATTACTGGATAAATTAATTCCTTTTTAAAAATCATGTCTGCATTACCTTTGTTATCAGTAGCAGTTAAAAAGAAATAAACGTTTTTTTCTTGATTTAGCGCCCTTTTTCTATCATATGGTTACTGACAAGGTGTTTAAGTGCATAAAACTTTTCTCCCTATCTCAGAACATCTCAACCGTAGCTTGAGAAGTTGTAACCTAACATTCTTCATGGAGGACTTGACAGTTATCCTTTGTAAGGACAGGAACCATTGTGAAGCTGGTAGAAGAGAATGCTGACAAGAGAATACTAAAAGCTACTTTTCATTTCTTGCTGATAGAGAAAGTACAGGACACCTTCTGCCCTTCTATTCTTTTCCTCACAATTTTGCTTCTTTTTCATCACAGTTCAATGATCTTGGCTTAAAAATTACAAAACAAATTTGAAAAGTAACTCATGCTTAGAGGGAAACTTATTTTTTTTCCTCAGGGGATCAGAGATGACTTGAGAGACCTCTTGGCTTAGGATAGTATTGGTGGAGAGCCTCAAGCTATATTGTTTCTTATGCGTTAAATTCTAATTAATTCTTCACCCTCTTTCCCCAGATATTCGTGACACTGTGAAGTATAAAGAAGTCATGAAACAGTATCCTTTTTTACGTCTTCTTTGGTGTTGACTCTCTGTATTTTGCAGCTTTGAAGGAATGTTTTTGGGTTTCCTTGTGAAATATACTAGCAAAATCATTTTGATTACTTTAAAGTCATTTTATTAGGAAAATGAAAGATGAAGCTGGGAAAAAGTATTGTAGGTGATTAGAAATATTCTTTGGGCTTGCGATTTTAGTTTTTTTACCAAATTCCCAGACGGCAGGCTCTTGTAATTAGAGGGCGTAGATAATGAGAGGCTAGCTGGTAGCGTGCCTAGGACCCAGAAAGTAGCATTGCCTTGGAAGCTACATCCATTGGTCACCTCTTCAAACTGGGAAACCCAGAAATGAGTAGGATCACCTCTTGGTACATTGCTGTGTGAAATGTGTACTTTCCCTCTAGGTAAGTCTAGGTAGGAAAACTAATTATAATCAGCAAGTTGCTTGATTACTGAGGATCTGAGCAAGGAGTGTTATATAGATGATCTTAATAGCTAATGCTAGCAGGCTGTCACTGCCTGATGCATCTGTCTATTATCTTTTGGTCCCTTTAGTTTGTTCATTTTGCCTGGCCCTCCTTAAAACAACAAATAAATGAAGAAGACCTTGATGAATGTTTCCTATGAAGTTACAGCTGTGTGGTACATACTAAGTCAAGGATTAGCTTGCCAATATTCATTAATAGACCACTAATATTATAATGTTTGTGTGTATGAACTTTATCATCTGATTTCATCTATAAACAATTTAAATCCTCAACTTAGTGTCTAGATATGGACTTGGACCCAATGGTGGCATAGTGACCTCACTCAATCTCTTTGCTACTAGATTTGATCAGGTATGTCTGTCTGTTTTCACTCATATAGGCATGACTGTGTAAAAACCAATGGCTCTTAAATACCTTAGTTTGATAACGTTGGGAAAGAAGAGCAATTAACCTGGGATATAAATATCCTCCTATATAATAAAAGGCTAATATGCAAATTGTCCCTTGGATTGGGAGTTTGACCAGGAGTTCGATAGGGGGTGGGGCTGGCCTGCCAACCGCCTTCGGCCCCTCCCCCTGGCTGCCCCCGCCCCTAATTGCCCCCCCACCCCGATCGGGGGCAGGGCTGGCCAGCCAACCTCCCGCATCTCCTTCCCCTGGCGGTCCCCTTCCCCTGGCCGGCCCAGCCTGATCACCCTGACTGGGGCAGGCTGACCGGACCCCACTCGTGCATGAATTCGTGCACCGGGTCTCCAGTAGAAAATAAACAGGCATTTTGGTAGACAGAAAGAGGCTACTAGTATGAGAGGATGATCAGTTTTATGAACACTTCATACTTAATATTTGGGACAGCCAGTAAAACAAATACAGGAGACCGTGTTTGTTTCTTGATCTGTTATTGGCATATAGTGTTACCCTGAGGATGGAGTAAAGGGATGAGGGGAGAGATGAGCTAGCAGGCATGGAACAGACAAATAATGGGGCTTTTTTTTAACTTGTGACAAATAGTTATCAGCTTCTCAGACCCTTGCCCTGTGCTCCAGGGTGCTGCAGTGTTGCTGATGTGGCTGTGTTTCTGTGGTTCAGTGAGTTTATTAGCTGGTGTCCTAAGATTGAGAACACAGAGATTCAATAGTTGATGGTACCTATAAAGCAGGCCACTTGGAGAGGGCCCTGTGATTTTATGCTGAAATCGGCTCCTGTTGTAATTGGCATCTTTTTCTTTTAGGTGATGAAATTTATTGAAAAGGCCCAGAACATGTCTAAGTAAGTGATTTCAGTTTAGCGCCTGTTTATTACTCTGTAGTTAACACGTTTCTAGGCTTTTTTGAAAGATTTTGGGTTAGCATTAAGTTTTGAAAGAGTTTAGATTAAGATGAAACTATTAGAAGTGAAAAAAAGATAGTCAAGAAAATCATTAAGATGCTATATAGTGTAGAGCTAAATTTAATAGTATTCTCTCCCCAGCCTCTTTGGTATATGCCCATGGCTTCTTAGGAGATATTTTGAAACTTTGTCTCTGTTTTCTTTTGGGAAACCATATTTGTTGGCATTAAAATCTCTGAAACATCTTTCTAATTCTTATTTAAACAAATATAATTTACATAAATCAGAGAGAATAATTGTTTTTAATTTTAAAAGTATCAAAATATAAAATAAAATATTTGTTAATATTATTACCCACTGTTAATAGATTAACTGTTAATAGGTTTTTAATAGGTTTGCTTTAAAAAAAAAAAAAAAAGAAAGATAATTCATTATTTTTATAAAAAAAGATATATGACCCTTACAAAGAATTCAACTTGGTTGGTATGGTTCAGAGGTCATGCACCAGGAGATCATGGTTCGATTCCCCATCAGGGCACATGCCCAGGTTGTGGGCTTGATCCCTGCAGGAGGCAGCTGATCCACAATTCTCTCTCATCATTGATGTTTCTGTCTCTCTCCTTCCCTCTTCCTTTCTCTCTGAAATCAGTAAAAATATATTAAAAAAAAAACCAATTCAAACCAGACATAATTTAAAAGGCACAGTTATCACCCACTAGACCCACTAGAAATAACTATCATTATTATTCCTGTCAGTGACTATCATTTCATGTTTCTATGCATATATACATAATTAGAAGAATGGAGGGATAAGGTGTTTTGCAAAAATAGTATAATAAAAGAGGTAGTTTTAAAAAATATTTTTCTTGAGCCCCAGCTGGTTTGGCTCAGTGAATAGAGTGTCAGCCTGTGGACTGAAGGATCCTGTGTTCAATTCCGGTCAAGGACACATGCCCAGGTTGTGTGCTCAATCCCCTGTAAGGGGCATGCAGGAGACAGCTGATCAATGATTCTCTCTCATCATTGATGTTTCTCTCTCTCTCCCTCTCCCTTCCTCTCTGAAATCAATAAAAATATATTTAAAAAAAATCTTTCTTGCAATATAAACTCACATACCATAAAGTTCACTCCTTTAATTTATATAATTTAGTGGTGTTCAGTATACTCATAAAATTGTGTATTGATTCCTACTATCTAATTTCAGAACATTTTTATTATCCCAAAAAAATGTCATACACATTAGCAATCTTTCTTTTTCCCCAGCTCCTATTGGCTGCACCATTTTACATTCCCACCAGCAGTGCATGAGAGTTCCAGTTTCTCCACGTCCTTGTCAATATTTGTTATATCTTTTTTGTTTGTTTGTTTTTTTAAAATATATTTTATTTATTTTTTACAGAGAGGAAGGGAGAGGGATAGAGAGTTAGAAACATTGATGAGAGAGAAACATCGATCAGTTGCCTCCTGCACACCTCCTACTGGGGATGTGCCCACAACCAAGGTACATGCTCTTGACCGGAATCGAACCCGGGACCCTTGAGTCCGCAGGCTGACGCTCCATCCACTGAGCCAAACCGGTTAGGGCTATCTTTGTTTTTTATTATAACTGTCTTAGTGGGTGTGTGGGTGTGAGGTGATATTGCATTGTGGTTTTGATTTGTATTCCCTCAAGGATTAATGATATTGAGCATCATTTCATCTATTTATTGGTCATTGGTATATATTTGTAGAAGTGTCTATTTAAATTCTTTGCTCATTTTTAAAACAGCTTTATTGAGATATAAGTCACATTCCATGCAATTCTCCCATTTAAAGTGTACAATTCACTGACTTTTAGTATAGTCACAGAATTGTGCAACTATCAGCAATTTTAGATCATTTTCATCACCTCAACAAGAAACCCTGTATTCTTTAGCTATCACTTGCCTGTCCCACCCCCTCCCCTAAGCAACTGGATAGTTTCTCAAGAGATTTATATTCTGGTTTTTCTTACCTCATTTTTAATGCAATATGTATCTATAACTATCACACAGTCCCCTGTGATCATTTGCAGTAATTTATGCACTGCTGCTCTTTTTTTTTTTTTTTTAATATATTCTATTGATTTTTTACAGAGAGGAAGGGAGAGGGATAGAGAGTTAGAAACATCGATGAGAGAGAAACATCGATCAGCTGCCTCCCGCACGCCCCCCACTGGGGATGTGCCCGCAACCAAGGTTCATGCCCTTGACCAGAATCGAACCTGGGACCCTTCAGTCCGCAGGCCGACACTCTATCCACTGAGCCAAACCGGTTCGGGCTGCACTGCTGCTCTTATCCATTAGCATGAATATTGGACATTGAACAAAGCCTGGGGGAATGTGGTATGCATTTCAAAGACAACGGGAGGAAGGTAGACTTGGCAATGGGAAGAGGGTATTCCAGTCTTGGATAACCAGTAGTTTGGTGGTTTGTGTAATGGGATGTTTTCAGCATTGTACAAGTGTAATACTTCTTTAATGGTCTTTCTTGACACAGATATGTCTTGATTGACACACCTGGGCAGATTGAAGTGTTCACCTGGTCAGCTTCTGGGACAATCATCACAGAGGCCCTGGTGAGTATTGTAGGTATTACTGAGAGCTAGGCTGGATAAGTCTCTTTTTATTGCCTGGGACCTTATGTAGAAGGGAGTAATAGAAGCTCTGTAAAATGGTTTTCTCTTGCTAAAGAAGGTAGGAAAAACCTGGGGACAGATCATGATCCCTCTGGCTAAGGCTTTGATTATTTTGTGGCTTTAGGCATCCTCATTTCCAACGATTGTCATTTATGTAATGGACACATCAAGAAGTACCAACCCAGTGACCTTCATGTCCAACATGCTCTATGCCTGCAGGTAATTGGTTATTGCTGGGCATATTACATCAAGGTATGAGGCCTCCTCTTCTTCTTTGAGTCCTGAGTGCTTATCCCTAGATTTGTGCTCATTCAGGTTTGCCACTCAGTTTAGTGGTTGTGAGTTGGGGAGGGGCATGTGCTCTTGGCACATGTGCTCTTGGCATTCTCTGTCAGCAACTTCTCATCTTCTTCCTTCCTTGCTACAGAAAGAGGTGGTGTGTGAATATGAATCTTCTGGTAGTTGCTCACAGTTCAATGAAATCCAAGTCTAATTAAAACAGAGCTCCTTTTCTGTATTATTGATAACATGGGAAATTATAACATGGGGAGAGATTATGAGTAAAAAGGTTTATCCATAGTTCTAAAATACACAGGTTTGCCCCAACTGTGGTATGATTAGGAGAGAAAGGACATGCCTCACTAGGTTATGTGAGTACATTAGATCTAGGAGCAAGGCATGCCGTTATTGAAGCTGAGAGAATTTGATTTTTGGGGGTGCAGAAAAGCCATCACTAACATTTGCTCCTTCAAGTATGATTAGGGATGTCTCTTATTTGATGCAAGAAATCCTAGTCCAAATAGAAATCTGATGACTGACAGCATTTGCTCATTTTTTAAAAAAAATATCTTTATTGATTTCAGAGAGGAAGGGAGGGGGAAGGGAGATAGAAACATCAATGATGAGAGAAAAACATTGATTGGCTGCCTCCTGCACGTCCCCTTCTGGGGATCAAGCCCACAACCCAGGCATGTGCCCTTGTCCGGAATTGAACCTGGGACCCTTCAGTCCACAGGCTGATGCTCTATCCACTGAGCCAAACCAGCTAGGGCCATTTGCTCATTTTTATATTAGTGTTTAAAGGACAATTATTTGGTAAAAACAAGCAACCAAACACACACACACACACACACACACACATGCACGCATGCACAGAAAATAGAATCAGTAGCAAAGCATTCTTAAAGAGAGTTATGTGTGTGTGTTGTTTGTGTGATGGTGGGGGTGGTTTTTCTCTTGGGAGAGGAGGACATGTGCCTCGTAAGAATGGATACCTTATACTTAGAGTCTGAACTCAGTCCCCTTTACTCAATTCCAACTGACTGACATGGTAAATAAGAGCTGAAGTGTTTTTACTAATAATGTTTTGATGTTTGATTTTTTAGCATCTTGTACAAAACCAAGCTTCCTTTCATTGTGGTCATGAATAAAGTAAGTGGATCCTTCTGTTGTGATTCAGTACTGTATTTGTTTTTCATCAGAACTTTGTGTTATTGGAAGATTTGGAATAGGTGGGAAATGTTATTTAGATGCAGGAGAGTAGATTCAAGCTTAACTGAAACAGTCATGGGCACTTCTAGGGAGAAGATTCAGTCAGATTGAGTACTTATCACTGACTTTCATCCCACGTTATTTCAGCCTAGATAGAGCAGCCCCTCACTTGTAGGGTGTGGATTATTCCTCAGAATCGAGACAATGGGCAGAGATGGGATTGCTAGTCTATTGGGAGTGGCAACTAAAACAAAAAGACAAACCTTCCCTGTTAGTTGATAGCTAGGCTACAGCAGACTAGTTGACTGTAGAGCCTGATGGGCTGGCATCCACTGTGGTCATGGTGACTTGGCAGTGGATAGTGAAGAGAACATATAACTTCATTTAATTAACACTATACAGCAGTCTTGGTTCTTTATGGCTTGTTGTAGTGGAAGAGGAACTGGGGAAAGCAGAGAAAGAAAATATATGAATGATTGCTTTTATTTTTATTGAATTTATTGGGTGACATTGGTTAATAACACTATATACGTTTCAGATGTACAATTCCATAATACATCATCTGTACACTATTGTGTGTTCATCACCCCAAGTCAAGTCTCCTTCCATCACTATTTGTCCCCCCATACCCTCTTCTACCTCCCCTCACCCCTGAATAATTGCTTGTTATTATCACTACTTAATTAAAAAAAGGGGGGAGGGGCATTATTTGGTCTCTAAACTCATCTCTGGTTTCTCATAGTTGGCTTCTCTCTGTTGCAGACTGACATCATTGATCACAGCTTTGCAGTGGAATGGATGCAAGATTTTGAGGCTTTCCAAGATGCCTTGAATCAAGAGACTACATATGTCAGTAACCTGACTCGTTCAATGAGCTTGGTGTTAGATGAATTTTACAGCTCACTCAGGGTAAACTTTCTCTTCTGCTCATACCGACAGTTTCCCCAGATAACTCTTAACCCAATAGGGCTGGCTTTGAACCATCTTAGGAAGGAAGTTCATTACTTTTTGAAAAGTAAATTTTAAAGCATTAACTTATTAAATACTGGAGGTTTATAGATGAATAGATAGAGACCCTACCTCAGAGAGTGTATGGTCTAGTTAGAGAGAAGGCTACACACAGAATTAAGAAAGATTGGAATTTGGCCCTGATGGCAGTGAGAGGGAAGATCACTTGACATGAGAAATGTTGGAGGATATAGCTTTAGAGTATGCTTTGAAGGAAGGGTAAGATTTGTATAAGCAAAAGTGGGTGTGGGTGGCAGAGCGTATGTTAATTGCCCAAGTAAAGGCACTGAGATACTAATTTTCATAGAGAACAGACAGTGGTTTGATTTGATAGAGAATAGATAAAAAGCCCTGCTACTTGTTTGTCCCTAATTATCTTTCTTGTTCAATTCTCTATTTTCCTTAGACTTATTTCCATGACTTTTTAGTAGACATGCTGCTTTCTGGTTTAGCTTTTATTCTTTGCCAGAGACTTCTTTAAGTATCTGAACTTCTTTGTGAAGATTTTTATGAAATTTGAACAAAATAATCTACACCATTAAAAAATATACATCCCTTTGCTCAGTGGCATTAATGTTGCTTTTGTCAGGTGGTAGGTGTGTCTGCTGTTCTGGGTACAGGCTTAGATGAACTCTTCGTGCAAGTCACCAGTGCTGCGGAAGAATATGAAAGGTGAGAACAAAGGACAATTCTATTGATGACATTCTAATGACCCACAATGCTGATATGATAGCAATTTTGCCAGGCAAAGCATTTTGATTTTCTTAGTATATATATTACATTTGCCATGCGTATGTGTACTGACCACACTTAGGGGTAACTAATCCCCATTAACTGTTTTTAAAAAATAGGAGTATAAAATCTTCACTGTATTTAATGAGTAAGAGCAGGCAGGAGTCACCAGACTTTTTGTGAAAAGCCAGGTAATAATCATTTTAGACTTTGTGGACTTTGTGATCTCTCTTGCAACTGTTCAACTCTGTCGTTGTAGCAAAAAAGCATCCATAGACAGTTTATAAATGAATGAACGTGGCTGTGTTCCAGTAAAACATTATAAAAATAGGCAGCGGACTTGATTTGGCCGTTTTCCACATTGGATGAGCCCATTAGCTTTAATGCTTTGGAGTCAGACAGTTAAGAGTTGGATTTCTGTTTCCTCCACTTAATGAATAACTTCTGCAAGTTTCCTCAGTTGTAGTTCAGGGATAATAGCATGGATTGCTAAGGTCGTTGTGAGAATTATTTGAGAAAACATCTGGAGTACGCAGTGCAATTGCTGCCACATAGTAAGCACATTTCATAATAAATGATTGTTATCACTTGTCATAATTAATATTGGAATTCCATTTACCTAAAGGAAAGTGGAGTCAGAGCATGTAGATACTTTCCTTAGGTCTGTAGCTGTTAGTTGGCTGCATCCCCACATGCTCCTGTGGCCCCATAAATAGCAAGATCCTAACAAACACATTGTGGTTTTCAGACACATTATTTTGAGTTTGATTCATTAGATAAGGGTTTTTGTGTGTGTGTGTGTGTGTGTGTGTGTGTGTGTGTGATCATGTGTGATCAAAGCCTTAGGAAAAGACTGTTTTGTGTCCTTTCATAGTTGCCCTGTTAAAACCACGTAATTAAAAGTTAATATATATTGGGCTTTCTGAACCCAGCAGTCCTCGCTTCTTTTACTCATCTCAAATGTTTATCCATATGAATGCTAATAAGCTCATTAGTCAATGTCTCTAGAGTTAATCTTTCCAGCTCAGCAGTCAGAGATTTTTCTTTTTTCTAGTTTCCTGGGTGAGGACAGGTACCTTGGCTTTAAAAAATAAATAAATAAATAAATAAATAAATAATATATATATCTTTATTGATTTCAGAGAGGAAGGAAGAAGGAAAGAGAGAGAGAAACATCAATGAGAGAGAATCATTGATCGGCTGCCTCCTGCACACCCCCTACTGGGGATCGAGGCCAAAACCCAGGCATGTGCTCTTGGCCGGAATCGAACTTGGGACCCTTCAGTCCACAGACTGACGTTCTGTCCACTGAGCCAAGCCGGCTAGGGCGGTACCTTGGCTTTTAATTCCATTGGGATAGCATTTCAGTGAGTTACACTTGTTATGCCTGACATAAGACCTTTTTTTATTTTCAGATCCCTAGGAAAACAGAAGGGATGTGCGGGCAGGCAGGACATATTTTAAACACAGCAATTTAGAAATTGTTTCTCTTTCAGGGAGTATCGTCCTGAATATGAACGTCTGAAGAAATCACTGGTAAGAGAGGAGGCTGTTTGTGTGTTTTAGGGCCACTAAAAAAACAACCTCAAACCATACACTTATCCTCCTGCCATTAATACTTTTGTTTCGGCCATCAGTGTGTCTTTTAGATACTTGTTAATTTAAATCTTTAAATGTCTATATGTGCTGTCTGGATGTAGAAAGGCCCCTTAAATTATTTTTCTTTTCTTTATTTGAAGTTTTAAAAGCCAGATTTTTCTGCCCTGGCAAGGAAACTCAATGGTTAGAGCGTCGTTCTGATATGCCAACAAATTGATGTGTCCTCGCCTCCTCCCATTCCTCTCCCTCTAAAATCAATATATTTAAAAAAAATTTTTAAATCAGATTTTCTTGTTGTATGTGCTAAGCCCTTATTGCACTCTACCCCGCCCCTACTCCGAGGTCCATTTAAAGGCTAGTTGTAGAGTTTTGTTTAGGAAAAGAGAGGTGGTTCACAACTCTCATTTCAACGGATCAGGTGTCCTGTCCCCATTGGCCGCACTGGGCTCCATATCACTGAGCCTTCCTGCTGTATCTGCTTGAGGGGTCTTTTGATGTATTTTGTGTCCAGTTCCTGGAACTTCTGATTCAGTCTCCAGAGCCCTCCAGCCTGAACTGCTAATCTGGGCCCATACTGCTCAGTGTTTCTATCCATATCAGCCATTCCTTATCTGCCTCAATGTTTAGGAAGTCTCTGGCATTTGTATAATTGGTCATCTCCAGTCAAAAGATACATCTGACTTGGGGCTCTTTTTTGAATCTAATGATAGTTTTCTCTACATGTACAGGCCAGTGCACAGAGCCAGCAGCAGAAAGAACAACTAGAACGCCTTCAGAAAGATATGGGCTCTGTTCCCTTGGACACAGGAGCTGCTACAGGTATTGGAGGGTCTCTGGTGTTAGGGACTGAAAGTGGATATGTTATTTCTACTCGGCAGGAAGGCATTTATATTTAAGAGCGGAAAGAGCAGAGGGGGATGTTTTCCTTATGTAGGGTTTGCATATTTCTTACTAAATTTATTTCAAGGATTTTTTTCTTTTTAGTGTTGGAAATAGTTTTTTTTGAACGATTATATCTTCTAACTGATGATGTTAGTGTGTACAAAACTATTAATTTTTGTACATTAGTTTTTTATTCTGCTACTTTTGAGTTAGTTTTGTCATTGATTCTCTAGGGATTTCTAGGTTGGTACTCATAGTTAAATGTATACACTCCCACCCATCCACACTTACTGATGGGCTGGCCTTTAAAGGAGTGAAGTTCTATTCAGGAAAGCTATTGCTATACTCCTAGTAGAGAACATGCAAAGCTGCTTGGAGGAGATGCTAGAAATGGACTGGGTTGACCAGTTACATGAACTTGCCTATGCCGTCCTGGTTGCACACCTCATGTGCTGTGGTCTTTGGAATCACTCATGAATACACGAAGTGGCAACTGTTAAATCTGTTGCAAAGGGTCTGCTGTCCCTAGATAACCTGCTAGAAGTTGGAGGAGTTTCAGTCAGTCACTTGGGGAGATCACAAGTACAGCTGTGTAATTCTGAGTTGGGCACGGAATGAAGCAGTGACTGTTGGCACACCGTGCCGTCATCCTTTCTCAGGGCCGGGCCACTTGAGCTTTGTGCCCCTTGGTGTTGCTGCTTTTTGACACCCTGTTCCCCAGCTCATCCTGCTTGACCTCTTAGGCACCTGAAGGGAGAGTGGTCATGTCCTCCCATGGCTTTAGGTTACTTGGCACGGTTTCAGGTTCTCACAGAAACCGACCCCTGTAGGCAGAATCCCCTGCCTAGGAATGACCTGATTATACTTCTTCCTGATTATTGGAGCTCAGCCCTATTGAGTTTCCCTAAGTAGGGAATTTGCCTCTATTATTATATTCAGTTTTCCATAATCTCCCTCCACCCATCTTATTTCTGAATAATACCCTGGTTCCTCTACTCTGGGTCATTTTACACTGTGCTCTCTTCCGACCCTTTCTGAACTTAATTTCCACCAGGAAGCTTCCTCGGTGCTCCACACTGACCCTTGACTCACCAGCACTCGGGATCTGCTTGAACGTCTTGAGCCTTCATAAGAAAATGCATAGTCTATTCCAAGCTGTCAGCTATTAAAAATGAATGAGCCTGGCTGGCATGGCTTAGGGGTTGAACATTGACCTATGGCCTGGGGGTCACGGTTGGATTCCCTGTCAGGACATATGCTTGGGTTGTGGGCTCGATCCCCAGTGTGGGGCATGTGGGAGGCAGCCGATCAATGATTCTCTCTCATCATTGGTGTTTCTATCTCTCTCCCTCGCCCTTCCTCTCTGAAATCAATTAAAAATATATATTTTTATAAAGAATGACATTCCTACTAAGATAAGCTACTTGAGAATTATTTTCCTTAGTTTAAAAATAAGATCTTTAGCCCTAGCTGGTTTTGCTCAGTGGTTAGAATGCCGGGCTGTGGACTGAAGGGTCTTGAGTTTGATTCTGGTCAGGGGCACATGCCCGGGTTGCAGGCTCCATTCCCCAAAAGGGAGTGTGCAGGAGGCAGCCAATCAATGATTCTCTTTCATCATCGATGTTTCTCTCTCTTCCTCTCCCTTCCTCTCTGAAATCAATAAAAAATATGTTAAAGAAAAACAAAACCTAAAACATAAAAAGACCTCTTGACTTATTAGAATAGTGAAAGCACTTTGTGAATTAGACTTGAAATGTAATGTGGTATTAACAATACGTTTGGGAGAAGTAGGATCCTGCGTTTTATCATGGCCGCTTTCATCCAGCCAAATTAAAAATTGTAGTTATTTACCGATTCAGAATCACCTTTTGGAGGAGGCATGTGTTCATGACATGCTGCTGGTGTTTTCTCTGTAGACAGCTTACCTTCTGGGCGGGACCCTTCTGACTTGATCCTCACTCGGGGAACCTTGGATGAAGAGGATGAAGAAGCAGACAGCGACACTGATGATATTGACCACAGAGGTGAGAGGTGGCTCATGAAAACAGACTAGTTGCTTATCCTCACATAGTTTGGTCAGGACCTTCTTGTTAAGAGAAGGTCTTGAATATGCATCCAGTAATAGGGGAGAGGAGCCGTAGCCAATTGCTCAGTGGTTAGAGAATTGTCCTGCAGATTGAAGGGTTGCAAGTTAGATTCTGGTCAGGGGCATGTACCTCGGTTGTAAGCTCGATCCCCAGCCTCAGTTTGGGTGTGTATGGGAGGCAACCAATCTATGTGTGTCTCTCACATCGATGTTTCTCTCTCACTCTCTCCCCCTCCCTTTCACTCTGTCTAAAAAGAAAAAAATCAATGGAAAAAATATCCTTGGGTGAGGATTAACAAAAAAACAAAAAAAAATTGGGGAGAGAGGAGATGGTTAAGGTATAGCACCAGGAAAGAGTCTCCTGCATTGGGAGTTCCTGGCCTTCCTGCTGAATGGTTAATATTGAGCTGATTACAGGCCTTTTATTAGTCTGTCTTCTCAAGTTAGGTCCTGACTCAGTCTGAGGAATCTAGGATTTTGTTTTTTGTTATTGCTTTAAGAATACATAAGGAGGCCTCAGCAGACCTGAACTAGTCAAGAGACTGCAAGTAACACTTTGAGGTTAAAATGGCTCTGGAAACCCAAAAGGGTTAACTTGGCATAGTTTTATGGAATGTGAACAGAATCTATTTTTTGAAACAGCCCTTTTAGATCTCGCTATGACCAAGAGCAAACTTCTCTTTATTCCAGTGTACTGGATGCTAACATGTAAAGTGCCTCATGTAATCAGATTTATTGAAGTATAATTTAGAGTAAAACCCACCTTTTAAAAGTTTCTAGTTTGGTGAGTTGTGCATTCCTCCCCCCCCCCCCCCCCCAATTATAAGAGAACGTTTATTTAGAAAGTTACAGAGGTAGTAGAAGTGAGGCCCTCCAAGAGGGCCCTTGGAGCTTAGGAGAGAGAAGGGCAAAGGTAAGGTGCCTTTGGGGAAGAAGAAAAGGATGGGAAAAGCTCAGGCATGAGAGAGAGAGCACGCACGCGCCTCTTGAGGAGTTTTAACACATATAGTCTTGTAACCACCGTCATAATCAAGATACAGAACACCCATTACCCCCGAAGTTCTCTCATGCTGTTTTTATTCAGTCCCTTCCTGCATACCTCGTTCCTGGCAATCACTGATCTAATTTCTGTTCCTATAATTTTGCCTTTTCCAGATTGTCATGTAATTGGAATGACAGTATTTAACTTGCATTCAACTTTTTTCAATCAGTATAATGCTTTTGTGATTTGTGGCATGTATTAGTAGTGTTTTTTACAGTTGAGTGATACTCCATTATATGGATCTATCACAATTTGTGCATTCACCAGCTGGTTGACATTTGGGTTATTTCCAGATTTTAGCTCTGATAACTAAAGCTGCTATTAACATTCATTAACAGATCTTGGTGTGGACATACGTTTTCATTTCCTTTGGATAAAAATAGAAGTGGGACCTCAGTTACTTTATGAGGGGGGTTTTTCCCCCCCTTGCAGATAAAAGAAACTACATTTGGGGCCACATGGTAAGCAGGAGAGATTTTTCCTGACTGGGAGAAATGAACACTTAGTTTCTTAGAAACAGAGTACTGTGCCTGATGGACGGGTGCAGCAGGTCTCATCTACCTGTCTAATGGGAGAGTTTAAAAAGAATTGACCTTTCTTTCCTTGCAGTTACGGAGGAAAGCCATGAAGAGCCAGCGTTCCAGAATTTTATGCAAGAATCAATGGCACAGTACTGGAAGAGAAACAAATAGTTTCTAGATGTCCAAGAGTTTGGAACTCGGTGAAGAAACTATCCTTACCTCTGATTGGGGTTACTATAAAGAACAATTTTGTACAGAATAGCAGAGTTTCTCTCATTAGGGAGATTTCCTGACTCCAGTGAAGCCAAGGATAGAAGAAATGTGGACCTGGCAGGTAGATGTTGATTCCCTGTGGCCTTTCCCTAGGATTTTGCAAGGAAGGATTTTCTGACTGTTCTTGGATGCTGGTGTTCTGCCTGTAAACCTTCATGTTTTATCATTTGAACTCAAGTACTTTTGCTGCTAACGGACGGAATAGAGAACATATTGTTCACTTCAGATCTCTATTATTAGGCTGTATTTATAGCCTCTGTTTCCCAAGCATCTTGTCCTTGACCCATGAGCTTCCCTCCTTTTAGCAGAATGGGAGATAAGAAACATGAGCTTGTACAGAGTGGCAGTGGAGTCTCCTTGGCAACCAGTCAGTGTTGATATGAAATGCTTGGTAGCTCATTATAGGTTTGTTGAAGAAAGTGGACAAAACATATAATTAATAAGAATCCTGTTTTTGGTGACTTGGATAGAGTTTTTAATTTTAACTTTGGTATAAGCCTGCCTGTCAGAATTTAAAATAAGAAAATTATATAATTATAAATAATTTCACTTCTGTTGATCAGAGAGATTTACAGACACATGTCCAAACCTGACTCAGTAAGGTGATGTTTACTAAAGTTTCCCTGGTTACACAGGGACCTAGTAACCAGGTATAGAGCCAGGCCCTGTTTGCATTTTACTTTGAACTTAATGCAAAATATGCTTAGTGATTTTCCGAAGGCCATGGACTTGGGTCAGGTGTACATTCCATATATAACAATCATGGTTTACCCTGCCTCCATTCTTCACAGTATCTCAAAATGTAGTGCATTTTTCCTAAGGAATTTTTCCCTGCCTAATCTGTCCTCCAATGGTTCTGGAAGTGTGATCTCTGGGCCAGAAGCATAAGCATCACCAGGGAAATTGTTAGGGAACACTGAAGACCTGAATCAGAAACTGGGGGTGGGGCCCAGCAATCTGTTTGAACCACTGCTCTAACCCAAACAACCTGGGACAATTCTAGGCCAGATGACTCTCAGGTATCAGCCATATGACCTGCTTTATCAGAGGACCCCAACTTTGACCATCTGGTGCCTCTTCTCCAATTTAAACATTCTAAAAATAAAAGCATTTTATTTTACCATGAAGTATTAATTTCAATATTCTGTACCTAGTGGGAACCACTGGTCTAAAATTTTGAATCTATAAGAGGAAACCATTTGCACAGCAAAACTCTGAACATACATGGTTTTCCCCTTAGTGCCTTTGAATACTTTTTCCTTAAAGAATAACTTGTATGGCCTATACTATATGCTCCATAAGGGCAGGCATAATGTCTTGATTTTGGTCTTGACTAAAGGAGTGCTCTAAATTGCACAAGATTAGTAATCTGCATCTATAAACTTCAGCAGAATTTAACACGCGGGCACCTATTACCAAGGCATAAAGCACATGTTTGCTAATTACTCCTAATTATTCCAATGCTGCATCATTTACATAATAAATACTGATTGAGACTATCAGATGCTAAGTAGGGCAGTACTGGAATGGATGAGTGACAATAGTAAAGTTCAGGATATGATGTAGAGTAGAAAGCCTCTTTTTAGAGGCTACCCATCTAGTAGAAGCACAATTTGCAGATGTAGAATTCTGGCAAAGCAATGGGACTGCTGGCCTCTGATGGCCAAGCAGATGCAACAAATAAAATAAGCACAAACCGGTCTTTGGACAGTTCCTGTTTGTTTTATTCACAAAGGAGAAAATGAAACAGGCAATTAAATAAATGTACATAGAGAAAATATTTTAAAAATCTTAGTGGAAATAAAGATAAGGATGAGGATAGATGGAACAAATCTAAAGAAGCAAGAAGAAAATCTGGATGGGATAGGAGAGGGCTGTCTGAATAAGCAAAAAGGCTGTGTTACCACAGACCTGGTTTTATGAGACTTCATGGGCAACAAAAGTTTTAGAAAGACTCCAGATGGGTAAGTTGTGCAGAGGTTAGCGATTTCTTGCTAGGTGTTAGTACTGGATTCCCAATGACAACCAAACATGAAGTAAATTAAAAAAACTGACATCTGATACCAGCATACATTTACTTGTGAATCTTATTCAAGCACAACTTTGAGGTTTAATAGCATCTTGGTCTTCACAGCAGCCCTGCAACATAGGTCAAAGTGGTACAATTCTCAGTTGTGCAAGAGAAATGGCCTTAGAGAAGCTAAGCAACGGGTCTAGTCACAGGACAGCCATCAAAGACAGTGCTCTGATCTCCTGATTACCATCCCAGCATCATGACATACCTGTAAAATGTGGCTTGGTTGGTGTGGAAAATTACAAAAACTGAATGCAAAAGTAATAATGCAAACTTGTTTGGTTAAGTCCAATTTCACTGAAATCAGGAAAATCCACTGTGTTTAAGAGTCAAATCGCTATGGAAACAAATCTGAATATATCAGGTTTTCTGTTGGGTTTGTAGGTTTGAACAGAAAATCTCTTTTCCTTTTATATTTTCCTAATCCTCTTCTTGCAGCGCTGGTTGAAAACGGGGGAGGATCCCATGAGGCTATCAGTGGAGTGGGAGCCGTAGCTGCTGTCTGAGTCATCTGGGCTCTGGGGGATTCCAGCTTCACTCATGCCTGACATGGGCTCCTCGAAGACGTCGCTGCCCAGCACGCCGTGCCCAGGGACATTGCCTTCTTCGCTCTCTTGAGGCTCCATTTTCACGTGGGCCAGATTCCAAAGAGGGGAAGCATTTACCTCTGTACCTAAAAATGGAAGAACACATAACTACAGGCCGTCCTCGGGTTACGTCGGACAAGATGTACATCGTTTCGTGGTTACGTCACCTCCCATTTATTTATAAAAAAAAAGTTCTGTCATTTCGACATATGTACATATGTGCTTTATGTTTTTTTAATTATTTACCACAAGTAAAGGTCAGGAATTGTTATCTTTCTTTTAAATTTTTTTTACTGTTTCACTTCATTGCTGTGTATGTGCTCCATGTGAGTGACATAGGTGCTTATGTAGGTGGGTTCTGACTTACGGCAAAAATTGCGTTACATTGAGCCGTAGGAACGGATCTCTGATGTAACCCGAGGACCTACTGTACTGGTAAGCCAAGGCTGGAACAAAGTAGAATAAAGATCCTACCCAGGGCAGACTGATGGCCTTTGAGCTCAGCTTATATTCTGACTATTGGCTGGAGAATATGGTTATAATTCTCTGCTTAAAAAAGTTAGACCAACTCTGAATATCTTCCTTTCCACTTCTTCCTTCACCCTCCCTCACCCACCCCCATTTTTCTGAACCAGGGAAGTAAAACTGCATGCATGTGGCAAGACTCCCTGTCTCATGGCCCAAAGGCAGGCACAACCACAGGCTCTTGCTCAGTTATGTTTGCTTGTCCTTCCTTCCTTTAATGGGACTGCCTTGTTTTCCTGCCTTTTGTTTGGGTCCCTGGTCCTATCTCATTATGAAAAGTTAATGATCACTCCACAATGGTAGCAGGTCATGGACTGCTGAAGAGAGACATGGCCCCTAAGTCTGCAACAAGGCCCTCTGCGTGTCCAATACTGTTCTGTGGGCATTCTCCATGGTGAAAGGCTCTGCCACACAGTTGTAACAAATGGGGCCTAATTCTGTTTATGCCACACTGGAGGATTTGCTGTTTGCTTCCTTTGAGCATTGATGAAATGACAAATTATATTTGTAAAGAACCAAGTGTCTAGACTAATTGCAGTCTCACTGACTTAAGGATCAAGTCATCCTGGTTTGTAAGGTCATCGCGAAGTCTATCTGGAAGAAGGGGCCAGCTGCCTGTGTAGCCCCGTGCAAGCGCTTTTAGTTCCAATTCGTTGCGTTACTCTAGCAAGGAAGCCTGACTATTCAAATATCCTTGAGCAATTAACACTCATTTATCTGGAAGTTGTCTTAATTGAGTACAAGCACCAGGAAGGACCAACACAGATACTAAGGGAGGGAGGGGACATCTGCCTACCTAGCTGGGTCAGCTGAATTAACTTGTAATCAGTAGGACAACATACATTACATCCATATCCTAACTAGGAATTATTTAAAAAATGCTTTCTCTAGATCAGTGAAGCTGTACTTGTCTTTAGACTTTCATTCTCCTGCCCTCTCCCGCTTTTGTTCTTCAGAGTATAATTCCATAAGGTAAAAAGTACTGAGATTGGTAGATATCCAGAATCAAGTGTAAGTTGATTTCTCTTACTTGAAGCCTGCGGTGAAGCCTCAACCTCCAGGTTAGACGGGAAGCGCTCACTCTGAGCCCCGAGGACTCCCATGGGCAGTGACTGGTCTCCAGAAGCAAGGTCCGCCTCCAGTTCCTCACTGACCGGGAAGGTGATGTCACTCACAGGTTCCTCCTTGATCTTTACAGGTTTAGTGTCCTCTGAGGCCTTCTCAGGATTGACAATCCTTTCATACTCTTCAGAAAGTTGCTTACTAATCTGTTGGCAAGCAAGAGAGAATTTTCCAAAGAAATGTTGGAAACAAGTTGGATAGTATGGAAAAGCCAACAGAATATGAATAAAGCACCCACTGCCAATGGAAGGAATCTGCTTAAGATGTTGAGTTTGCATTTGTAAATGATAGACATGTGAAGAAAATTTGTTTGCAGAGAGTGTGTGTGTGTGTCATTAACTGAAAGTTACATAAAGGTGAAAAATAGAGATAAATCAGAAATGGGACAAAAGATCACATTTTTGGCTATAAAACTAACAGTTAAGCCCTGACCGGTTTGGCTCAGTGGAGAGTGTCGGCCTGCGGACTGAAGGGTCCCCGGTTCGATTCTGGTCAAGGGCATGTACTTTGGTTGTGGGCACATCCCCAGTTAGGGGGTGTGCAGGAGGCAGCTGATCAATGTTTCTCTCTCATCAATGTTTCTAACTCTCTCTCCCTCTCCCTTCCTCTCTGTAAAAAATCAATAAAATATATTTTTTTAAAAAGTAACAGTTAACATATGTACCCCAGGTGGGTAATGAATGGTGTAGGAACTCTGGACCACTTAGCAAAGACTTCTTGCTGTATATGTAAATGTATACAGCTTACACAGCATTAAAAATTCTTTCCGATATTTTAGGTTTGGGGAAACCGAAACAGTGAGCAAATTGCTTGCATAAGGCCACAGTGGTTAAGAGAGGAGTTATTTCCGGTTATAACCCAAAATGGTGTCTCTCCCTGCTTTCCCACCGTGGGCAGTACCACTTCACTGTGTGTTTGGCCAGGTCATTGATGAGGCCAGTGAGTCTCATCTAGGGCCATGAGGAAAGTAGGTTATGTCCTCTGTTCCAAGATCCTGTGCTCGGCATTCTACAGCAATTGTGGGATCCTGCTGAGCACCCGAGACTGCGTCCTCCAGGGCGTCGCCTCACCTGTAGCATGTAACTGTGATAGTCCTTGATGCGGTGCTGCCAGAACTTCTGGAGGGAGAGCACACTGCCAATGCCCACTTCATGGAATACCTGCTCCATCACGTCAGGAAAAGGCGTCTGCCCCAGTCGGGCCTCCCGATCCACAGCAAAGCGCAGCAACTTGGTGAACTTAAGGCAATACTCATGTGCCACATCAGTTAGGGTCTCCAGGACACTTTCATTTGCACACTCGAAGCCTGCATGGGCCAGGATGGTGGCCACTGCCTGGTAGAGGAGCTGCCGGCAGGAGTGCCAGCTGAGTTCAGTCACAGGTTCCCCTTTCCCACTGAAAGCAGACACATGGTGGTAGTGTTACGAGTGCTCCTGCAAAAGGGTGACCTGTCCTGTCTCCCTAGAAGTTTTACAATTCCAATCAAACCACTGGCCCAGCTTTCCAGGAAAATTCTATGCAGTTACACAGCCCAGTTTTCTTTTTCTTTTTTTTATTTTTATAAAAAATATATTTTATTGATTTTTTTACAGAGAGGAAGGAAGAGGGATAGAGAGTTAGAAACATCGATCAGCTGCCTCCTGCACACCCCCTACTGGGGATGTGCCCACAACCAAGGTACATGCCCTTGACTGGAATCGAACCTGGGACCCTTGAGTCCGCAGGCCGACGCTCTATCCATTGAGCCAAACCGGTCAGGGCCCCAGTTTTCTTTACTGCTTGATGGGGCGTGTCTAAGCAACCCACAGTCTTATCTCTGAGCTCCTCCAATTACATAAAGCTTGAACAGGCGATACATACCTATAAGAAACAGTGTAAAAGGGTGTCTAGTAAAAAGGAAGTTTCCTTCTTATACCAATTGCTCAATTTTGATTACTGTTAGGATCTGATTGACTTTAACAGTAGAGCTCAGACACTGCTCAATGGTGCTCGTTTCCTCACATGCTGGGCAACATATGGCCGTTCAGAAATTTACAGTCCCAGTTAGGAGATTCTTATATAACTGCAACAGCCCATTTGTAAAACTGGGAAAGCAACTCAATTTTATAAAAGCAACTCAAAACATATACAGCTTACACAGCATTTTTATCCTCTCCTATGCTGTGAAATGGGTAGCATCCATATTATTATTCCTATTTGGCAGGTGAGGAAACAGGTTCAGAGGGGCTCACTTGCCAAAAGTTGTTTGGGTATTATTAATAAGTGTCATGTGGAGCTTCTGACTCCAGATCCCATGTTCTTCATAATACAACAAATTGCACTTAATCACTACTGCAGAAATCTTAATCTCTCCAAGAAAAAACTTCAAAAGCTGTCTGATCTCCTAAAAATAA